AGGTGCTCCATTGCACAGAAAATAGCCCCCAGTGAAGATTCTCATTCGGAGGAGAGTAGAGACCTTCAGGGGCTGACACTGCCTACATTAATGCGAACTGGCCAGATTCAGCCACCTCTAATATTCGTTTTAACAACTGGAGCCGCGCAAGCGTAGCACTTTTGCACCGCTCACGACTGCAGTTGCGGATTGGTGGTTTGGATCACGTGATCGAGCCTCGCCTCTTCCTGGAGGTTGGGGCCCAGTCCGCTGGCTTGTTTCCGGTTCGGTAGATCCACGATGACGGAGCCGGGCGCCTCTCCGGAGGACCCTTGGGTCAAGGCAAGCTCCGCGGACGCGCACGCCGGCGAGGGGAGGGCGGGTCGGGCTCGTGCACGTAGGGGGTCCGGAAGACGTGGGGCTTCCCAACTATCCCCAGAGTCTCCCCTGCTGTCCGGGCTCCGGGGCTGCAGAGAAGACAGCTCTCACCCGGCCTGTGCCAAGGTGGGGAGACAAACGGGGCGTGTGTGCTGGAACGAGGGGGTCATGGCTGGGAGATGGGGTGGGGACGGTAGGGAGTGTACCGAGGGGGCGGTACCCCCGCGGCCTAGCCAGGCCTTGGCTTAACCATTCAGTGGTCCCTGCACCCATGGTACGTGCATTCCCGGATTGCGCGTGCCTTCATAGAGGCAAAGGTCTGACAGGATTCTTCCTTGCTTGGTGCTGCAGGTGGAATATGCCTACAGTGACAACAGCCTGGATCCCGGTGAGTGCCTCCCCGACTGTCGCGGGTCGGGAATGACTCCTGTTTTCTGTAGATTCTTGTGGTCTTGTCAGCCACACCTGAGCACAGTCCACTGTCACTGTGCCAAGGACTTGGCTTGAGAAGTGAGGGTGGAGCTGGAGAATAGGCAGGAAGCAACCGTGGGTCACACCTGGTTCCTCTGTTCTAGAACGGGAAATGATGGAAACAGTGACAGCTGGTCATGTTCACTGCATCCAGATGCTCCTTTGTGAGCCAGAAATAAGTCTTCTGGGCAGTGTAGACACTGGGACGGGAGCATTGCAGCATGAAATGGAGGGCCCGTGGTGGCTGGCTTTGGAGTTGATGGGGAGAGGTCAGCATTTGAAGCCATTGTGCCCATAGATAACTGAAGGCATGGCAATGTTCCCCACTCCTTAGTGACTGAGGCCTTTTTTTTTTTTTTCCAGGGCTTTTTGTAGAAAGCACGCACAAGGGGAGTGTAGTGTCCAGAGCTAATAGCATCGGCTCCACCAGTGCCTCTTCAGTCCCCAACACAGGTAGGCAGCAACAGAGCCTGTCACGCACCCCGGGAGGACTTATGTCTCCCATCATTTTAGTATCTTTCCTAGCTAGGGAGCTCCGCTATCCTCATGGGGGTGGCTGGAACAGTGCCGAGCTTGAGTCTCACAGTCTTTCACCTCATCCAAGATAACTAGGTTCTTTCCGTTCAACATCTCTGGGCACCAGGTTCTTCCAATTGGGCAAGGGTGGTCTAATTGGATTTAGTGTACCCTAAAGTGACCTCTCCTTCCTCCATCTCTGAGTTTAGATGATGAAGACAGTGATTATCAGCAAGAGTCCTACAAGGAGTCCTACAAAGACCGGAGGCGGCGTGCACACACTCAGGCGGAACAGAAGAGGAGGGATGCTATTAAGGTGACTGGAAGCCTGTACCCAAGGCAGCGAGGGACGACTCTGCCCTGACCCTTCAGCCCAGATGTCTACAGGGGGTGGGGATGGGGGGAGCTGGGCTGCCTCTATGCCTTCACCTCTTCCTTCCAGCCCTCTATGTTTTGAGTCTCTGAGCATGAACTGGTATCAAAGGTCTGTGCTAGCCTCTGTTCCTGCTGAACCCATTTCCCTGCTGTTTCCAGAGAGGCTATGATGACCTTCAGACCATCGTCCCTACCTGCCAGCAGCAGGATTTCTCCATTGGCTCCCAAAAACTCAGCAAAGCCATCGTTCTACAGAAGAGTATGTCCAGGGCAAGGGGAGGGGCAGGGGGTAGTAGTGGCTGGGGAGTGGCCGGGACCTGGTCTCCCCCAGGTGTGGGAGCTGTAAGGGGAAAGTTAGGTTCCAGGGGAAGGGCAAACAGATGAGCCCTCTTCCCGGTTCAGACCTCCTCAGTGCCAACCTCTCTCTTGGCCCCTACTCCAGCCATTGACTACATCCAGTTTCTACACAAGGAGAAGAAAAAGCAGGAGGAAGAAGTATCCACACTTCGTAAGGACGTCACAGCCTTGAAGATAATGAAAGTGTAAGAGGGGTGCTGAACTGAGGGGCTAAGGTCAACTCCAGTGCACGCTTGTTCAGAGGCTGTATTGAAGAACATATGTAGGTGACACTGACAGCAAGGCAGTCGCTGTGAGGCACAGCTGACTGGCCCTACCAGTCCTTTACAGACATACAGGAAGTAAACACCCGTCAGGATAACAAAGAGGTCTCACTGTTTTTGAGGAGTGTTTAGCTGATATTGAATGTATCCCCAAGTCTCTGGGAATCCCCGTGTGGCATGGCCTATGGGATTATCCCACCATGCTTTTCAGGTTGACTGAGCTGCCATAGTACCTCAGCCCTGTTTGCTTGTATGCTTTCAGGAACTATGAACAAATTGTGAAGGCACATCAGGACAACCCTCATGAGGGAGAGGACCAGGTCTCCGACCAGGTCAAGTTCAACGTTTTTCAAGGCATCATGGACTCCCTATTCCAGTCTTTCAACGCCTCTATCTCTGTGGCCAGCTTCCAGGAGCTCTCAGCTTGTGTCTTCAGCTGGATTGAGGAACACTGTGAGCCACAGGTATGTGGCAGTTGGGGTTATAGTGCCTGAGGTCTCTTACCACTTCCAGGCAAGGTGGTCCAAGCCATTCAGAAAAACAGTGAAGCTGCCTTTGAGTTTCTTCAGGGTGTCTACAAAGCTTAGTACTCTGTCTTTGCTGCCTAGCCCAGTGAAGGTCTCATCTGGCAACCAGGACTGAGCATTCAGTGCCAGGGTCAGCTTTGGCCCATGTCATTGGTGACTCATTAGCTACTCTACTCCTTGGCTGTCCTGTGTGGAAGCCAACAGCTTAAAGTTTCTAGAAACATGAAACATGCAGATTATAAGATACTTTCACCCTCCCACCCTGGTAGTCCCAGGGCTTTTTATTGTGCTGGCTTCTACTCTTGAGGCCTGTTTTTTCTCAGATTTTCCATTCTTTTATGTTTCTCAACATTTTCATTGTGAAATACTTATACAAACACTGCATCAGTCAAGGCCTGTTGGAGTGAACACCCATATCTACTACGTCAGTTATACCAATGACACCCTCATCTTTGTCTCCATCTTAGTTCAGGGATTTTGAAATTAAAAGTAGGCAACATTCCATTTCAGGGGCTTTGTTTCCTTTCAAAAAAACATTTTATGTACATGGGTATTCTGTCTGCATAAATCTGTGTTCTACATGTGTGTGCCTAATGCCAGAAGAGGTCATTGGACCCCTGAAACTGGACTTGCAGGTAGTTGTGAGCCACCAAATGGGGGTGCTGGGAACAGGACCTGGGCCCTCTTCAAGTACTCTTTTTTTTTTTTTTTTTTTTTGCTTTTGAGACAGGGTTTCTCTGTGTAGCCCTGGCTGTCCTGGAACTCACTCTGTAGACCAGGCTGGCCTCGAACTCAGAAATCCACCTGCCTCTGCCTCCCAAGTGCTGGGATCAAAGGCGTGTGCCACCACCGCCCGGCTGCTTCAAATACTCTTAACCACTTAGACATCTCTCTCTCTAGAGCACCCTCCCCCCACCCCCCAATAAACAATTTAGTCTGTGAGGTCAGGGGCGACTTTTCAGTGAGTTCTTTCCTTCCACCTTTATGTGGGCTCCAGTGACCAGGCTTTCCTGCCGAGCCACCTCACCAGACCTTTTTTGAGTGCGAAGAAGACTCCACCAAGCTGCCAACCCTTGGGTGACTATTTTAAATGCCTTCAAGAACATGGTCAGTCTGTCACCTGAACATTGTCTTTCTTAGACTCTACGAGAGATTGTGATTGGTGTCCTTCACCAGTTGAAAAACCAGCTCTACTGATGGTCCCTGGAAACATGCAGAGCAGCCAACAAGAGGCCTTTGAGTGTGTTTGGCCATGGAACTGCTGGGCCTATGAGATTGGACTGCAACACCTCACACCGGTCAGCTGGTTTCTACTTGGTGTCTGGTTTTCCCAGCCCCGCTTTAGCTTTGGTGGGGCTGAGTGTTTTGTGAAAGCTTTTGATTAATTTATTATATTGCCTACAATGTTGAACCTACCCAACCTTCCCCTTCCTAGGAAAAATCTCTAGGACAAGAGGCTCTTCAGGGAACCTCACAAAACCCTGAGCCTCTTGGCCCTTTCTCTACCCATCAGGTTCTTGCTCACAATCTATATACATAATTTGAAAATTGTTTGCCTCTGCTTGGTCTCTTGAGCAACATTTGGCTCAATTCTTAAGTTGGAGAAAGGAAAAGAAATAGCCCCATGGCCATGAAGGGTAAAAGGCCACCTTGTGGCTAAGCTAGAGTTGTGTGGTCAGTGCTGAGTAAGGCCAGTGTGTTCTCGCCAGCTCAGGGTAGGGCTGCCAGGTTCCTGCTGCCCTCACATTCTGCCGCCCACTTCTTCAGCCGCTGTGAGCGCTACAGGAAACAGTGTCCCATCAGGTCTTTCCCTGTCTTCCCAAAGGCAGCATTACATATTTGAATTTATTTTCTAAATACAAACAGTGAGTGCATTTTTGTTACATGTAGTTTTCCAAAATTCTTAGCGCACCTCCAAAGCACCCCAGCCTCTTCTGCATAATGTGTGTCTCTGCCCCAGCAGTGTGTTGCCTATATCTCTCCTAGGATCTGGTGATACAGAAGATACTCTTGTGGGGGTAGGCCACGGTGATACCTTGGGATTTTCAAATGTTGGTGTGTGATACCCTTTCTGTACTTTTATCCCATGTTCCCTACTGCCTTCCCCAGGTTTGATATCTGGGAGGTTTGATCATCCAGAGGAAATTAAGTATTTTTATATCAAATTATATTACAATAAATACTACAAATACCTTCCTTTAGCATTGTTAAAAGTCTTTGTTGAGGCCTGTGCAACATGGATGTGACCGTCCTTTCTGATCCCCAGCCTCTAAACACTATGCCTTTGTGCTCCTCTGTGTACTGCTCAAAGGTGGAGAACAGCAAGAATAAAAAGGCCACCTAAGTAAGGGGGCCAGCGCAGGACAGTCTGTTCCCACCTCCACCCAGGGCCCCTTAGGGGTCGGGCAGCGTCACATTATGGTCTTCATCTGTCTCTATTCCAACTTCCTCCTGTGGGGCAAGGAAAGTAATGAAGGAGTCCTCTGGGCACAGATCCCAGGGGAGTAAGAGGGGAGTCACTTACAAAGAACTGCTTCTTGCTCTTGGGGTATCCTTCAAGGATTGCATCACACAGCTCTGTGGTCTGACAAACAAAGCCCCCTATGAGATGAGCAGCAGCACAAGGCCCTGCCTGCCAGCCAGCTCATTCTGCACAAACTTCCCCAGTGACCGTCACTTCCATGAGCACCCTTGGGATTCCCACTCACCATTCTCTTCCGCTTCCTCCACTCTCTACAATACTTCTGTCTGTCTCTGTACACCTGAAAGGAAGGCGCGTGCTCATTTGAGCTCTGGTGTTTGTTCCTACAGACCTGCACAGGTAGCCTGCAGCCTCTCGGCTTACCTTCTCCTTCTCTTCAGGAGTGACATGGTTGGTGGCTGCTTTGATGTTCTTCAGTCTCTCTGTGTAGCGAGCACACTCCTTCTTTAACTCCTGAATCTCTCTCTGCATCTCAGGAGTGGTCAGCGAATTTGTTAATTCCTTCAGCTCTGAAACCACATGCACTCAAGAGTTACTTGGTACAAGTGAGGAAGAGATTCTGCCTTGTCCTGCAGGCACATCCCAGAGGTGGGATCTCTCTAGAATAGGACCCTATTCTGGAAAAGCTCAAGAAAATGCTTATAGCACGATCAATTTGTTTTCCTATTTTTCTTTCCTCTTCCATCTAAAAGCAACAATGGCTTGTAAGGTTGAGCAGAGTGCTGTACAGGTAATTAGAGAAGTGGAAAGAAGATGTGTACTCGCAGTGGCAGTGAAGAGTCTGTAGCTTGTCTTGCTCTATTGTACACAGAAGCCATAGCTACTTCTGCATTTCTTTCAGTGCAACATCATAGGCACCTGGCAGAGGGCTCGTAGCTGCAGTGAGATGCTACAGACAAGGAACCATTAACAATTTAAGACCTCCAGACCACAGCCGCTTAGAAGGGGTGCCCTGTCTTACCAGCCTCCATGTGCCGGCAGCTCTGCTGCAAGCTCTGCACTTTGGCAGTGAGGGCCACGATACTGGCATCCAGGCTGTGGAGATCCCCGTCACTCACTGTGTCAAACTGGTCCTGCCGGCCAAGAGAAATACAGCTGATTCCATGAGGCACAAAGAGAAAAAAACACATCTGGGGAGGCAGCATTCAAATATGGAAGAACCACGTACACCCCTACCCCCTACAGTGAGAGAGAATGCTGGGGCTAGTGGTACAGGCCCCTAACCAGCAACCTGGAAGGCTGAGGCAGGAGGACTATCCATACTAATAGGTGGCTGGGCCTATAGCTCAATGGAAGAGTAGAGCCGATTAAGTGAGACCAAATGCTTTAGGAAGTCTGAAAATACAGTGAAGCTCCTGAGCTATCTTCCCAGCCCTGATCTGCATTTAGATAGATCATTCTGGATACAGCATCCAAGATGAGATCTTAGTACATTACTTTAGACAGGAGAGTCTGACAGAGAATAGTGACGACAGGTTAGATTCAACAACGACTGCCAAAAAAAAAAAAAAAAGAGCCAGTCTGGGCTACATAGTGAGGGCCGGTTTAAAAAAAAAAGAGGGCGGGTGGGAGTAATCAGATATGACTGACAAAGAGCCACACATGTCAGATGTGTAAGGTAAAAGAAACAAAGAGTTACATTCTAATCTCTGATCTGAGGAAAGTGGCCCCCTGACAGAAGAATGCTAGGAAGCCAATTGGGGGGCAGAGAGTAAGCATTCTACATTGCCCATACTGATATTGATACTTAATATTACCTGGATAATAATTATCCAGAGAGAAGTCTGGGTGGGAGAATATAAATTTGATGTGTTTAGGGTAGTGGGGCAGAGGAAGAGGAAAAATGACTTGGCAGAGGTGGGGCTAGACGAAACAATAGTAGAGGTGAGGCTAGGAGTTGTGAGTCAGGGTCCTCTGTTGTTTATAGCTCAAATAAACACTGATTAAGCGTCATTACAGGCAGCGTACACCTGATTTAAGGATATCGGAAGCCCTTTTATAGCACAGATGAAATTAATTTTGTGAGACGCCTCAACACTCCTAACTGCTGAGAGTCGATTCACTCAGGCAGGCTCTCAGAGGGGCGTTAATCTGCTAGAGTTCTCACCTGATCCGCAAAATATATCTTCTGCTTGCCGTACGTCTTCTCTTTGATCGTGCCTTGCTGGGCCAGCTGATCCAGTGCCTTCACCACCGCCTGGCAAAGGGGAGGGTGGAGCAATTAGAGCGACCCAGGGCAGGGGAGATTTCGGTTGGTGACCGGGAAGGCGGGACCCAAGCCTAATAGGGGAGTTCATCGGGGAGGGACCCCCCCGCCCCCCGCAAAGGGGTTCTCACCGCCTTGCCCAGTCCATGTTCCTTCTGCAGGTTCCCAAACACGTCCTGGGCGCTGTAGGGCCGGTTTTGTTCTTGCAGGTACCTCAGGATAATCCCGGGGGCTGCGGGAGACGAGGTAAGAGATGGGGTCACCTCCGACCCTCTCTCGCCCTCCCGTCCCGGGTCCTGCGGGCGTTGCTGTTACCTCCAGCTGCAGCCTCAGCCCGGCTTTTACTCATGGCCTTTCCCGCCACCAAACTCGAGAGCTGTACTGGTCGGTTGCTCCGGGAAACGCCTCCTTCCGGTGAGAGGGCGGGACCTTACTGTTGATTGGCTAAGGAAAAAGTCTTCCGGAAAAGCGCCCGGACCTTCCGGGACATCGTAACCCCGATAGCGGCCGTCAAGAAGTCACAGTCTCCGGCCTTTGCCACAGGTCAGCCGCCGCCTCCAGGACCCGCAGTGCTGGCTGCGGTGAGCGGCCCCTTCCACTTTAAGCCGCGAGACCCAGTTGGGCCATGTTTGAGCATTCATGACCTAGAGCTAGACCCGCGTGGTGTGGGAACGGGAAGAAACTTTATGGGTCAACTCCCACGCCGCTCAAGGTTACACAGAGCTGGTGGTCATCCATGGGAGTGGGACTAGTTTTCTTACGTGTAAAGTAGGACCTGTGGGTACTTTTGTCAGAGGGTGGCTGCGAACGCGAGCCCACTAACGATTCCCTTTTTCATGTGCCGCATGTAGGGGGCGCTCGACACCTACTGTCATTTGAACGCCCAAGAACAGTTGGGGGTACTCAAGCCACAAAGCTTGACATCTCCAGTTAGAGCAGCAACATCTGGCAGGTGCTTTCCATTCCTGACCACAGTGGCCAGTCCGGAGGAGCCTGAAATAAATATTTCTAGTTTCTGAGGTCTGCTGATGACCAAAGAGCAGCTGTCCTTGCAGCTAAGTGGAAGGGCACAGTATTAATTTTTCAATTCTTCAACCTAAAACTTTATTAGCCATTATTCAGAACATGCATTTGCTTATCCCTACTTGTTTAAGGGGCAAGGTTAAGAATTAAAAATGGCCGGGTGGTGGTGGCGCGCGCCTTTAATCCCAGCACTTGGGAGGCACAGACAGGTGGATTTCTGAGTTCGAGGCCGCCTGGTCTAGAGTGAGTTCCAAGACAGCTAGGGCTACACAGAGAAACCCTGTCTCGAAAAACCAAAAAGAATCAAGGGTGGAGGGCTGGAGAGATGGCTCAGCAGTTGCTTTTCTTTGCAGAGGACCCTAGATTGGTTACTAGCACCACATGGCTGCTAAAAATTGTCCTTAACTCCAAATTCAGTAGATCTTCCTTTTCCACAATTGGCAAGCATATGGTGTGTACACACATACAGACATAACATTCATATTCATAAGATAAATCTTAAAGAGGAAAAAAAATAACAATTGACAAATACCAGCAAGGGTGTCAGTTGTATTTAAGTCTTGGTTATAGGTGAAGAAGTGCCCTCATGAGGGAAAAATAGAAAGGGCACAGGAGGGCCCCTGACATCTACCTGGGCTTCCTCTTCTGAGTGAGGGTCACCACCCCAGATTAGCTATTATCAGATTAATTCGAAGACCCATCAAGGAAATACACGACACAACAGCAGTCTCTTAAAAGATTGTTCTCATACAAGATTTAATCCCCAGCACCCACCCCACCCCCAATTCACAGTGGAGGCATGGGAGATTCAGAGCAGGATCTCACTGGTACAGGACCTGGATTTGCTCCCCTTCCCTCCCCTCTTCCTATTGCCAACTCCCAAAGCATGAAGCTACACACACTCATGCAAACACGCAAAATCCCAAGCCTTTCCCTCACCTCTCTTTTTCTTTCTTCCCACATCAGAGTTCACCCGTAAGACATCTGGCTCTAAGGAAAGATGTCCAAAGTATTGAGCACCCTCAAGTGGGGAGATGCCATGATTATGCCTAACTCTCACACTCACTATGAACAGGCACCTGCCATTCCTCTTCTCACTGTTAAGTATTTTCAATCCCTGGCCTCTACCTTGTCCTTAACCAAGAGCAAAAGTGTTAGCACAACCCCCAACCTGCAGCACATGAAAATGGGCTCTGTCCAACATCCCTCACCCAAACACGGGAGTGCTGGGAGAGTGGTCCCTGAGGATCAGCAAAGGGTTAATGCAAGAGGGAAAGAGGATAGAAGAATTTGGCTTGAGCTCTGATTTTGGAGACAGAGAGGCAGTACACTGGCACAGGTTTGAGAACCACTGATCATTTAAGGGGCTTTGTTTCACATAATTTGATTCGGGACTGCAGAACACCTACCCTTCAGAAGAGTCTCTGATTACCAACACATCCTTACTAACTGGGCTCATCCTTACAGGAGTTAGGAAGCAGTATGGTAAAAAGAGCTGGTGGCTCCTGGGATGAATGCCATGGCCATTTGTAAAGTGCTACTTTGCCATCCCCCGTGGAATTATTGCTTCTCCAGAGGAGGAGCAGAGAAAGAAAAAGGAACATAAAAATGGGTATGATATTGCTTTGTTCACTGCTCAGACTGATGGTCAAATGGAGTCAAGGGTTAACAGCACCAAAGACAACCACACAGCTCCAGAAGATTCCATGAGACCTCAAAATAGGCACTCACCAACCCTACCAGCCAGCTGATCCTTTAGCTCAAGATGATATAGAGGCTCAGCCCCACATGTTCACATTTCCCAAACTCTGCAAGCACTCTGGAGTGCTCAGGGTCAGCCATCTAGAAATGAAGATGGGCTCAGAGACAGGAAGTGGGCCTGCTCCGCAGAACCAAAAGACAAACTTGCTTTGAGAACACAAATCAAATCATGGTAAAAGACACAGGTGACAACTCCTGCTGCCTGACTTCTGTGGCTCCAGTGAGGTGAGGAGAAGAGATGGGCTCTTGTATCAGTGAGGGCCCCTGAGCACCCAGACCTAAAAGCAAACAGCACTACCCCCTCAAAGGGGAATCAAATCCCTACTTTGTTGCCCGTAGTACCACCCTGATGGATAGAAGCCTCCCTTCAGGGAGTATGTTCTCACTTCAGTGACTAAGCACAGATACGGCGTCTCGAAGATACGGCGTCTCGAAGATACGGTGTCTCGCTGGCAGCAGGGTAAGAGTATGTTCTCTCAGCAGGCCTCTGCATCAGCCAGACCACCCAGCACACAGATAAAATTCAGAGGACAAGACTGGGTTCTTCCCCTGCCCCATCACAGTAAGTGGGGTAGAGGAAAATAACCTACATCACAGTGACCCCCTCAAAGGAGTCTCTCAGTGGCTCCTAGAACTGGCAGGGTCTAGCTGATTCAGCTCCGATTGGTCCAGAAGTTCAAAATCATCCCCCTCGGCATCAGTGTCCAGGTCTGAACTAGGGGCCCGGAGGAAGCCTCTTGTTGCTCTTCGGGAAGGTGGGCCAGAAGGGTCTGTCTGGGAGGCCTCTGACAAGGCTAGTTGGATCATACCCTGGGAGACCAGGCTGGCAAGATTGCTGGTAAGGTTAGATCCTCCAGGAAGGGAACTAAGCAAGAGCTCTGGAAGTGCAGCCTCATTCCGACTAGCAGGCAGGCCCTGGGTGTCCCCAGTCCCTGGTGGGGAGCGGTACATCAAGCTGGGCATCCCAATGCTGGTGTCATCCTCATCATCCAGGCCAGCAGGATCCACGTTAATGGAAGGGAAGTCTGGAAGGTCTCTGGCAAATGACTCCTCTGGATCACTGTGACCATCTAAGTCTGAGAGAACACAGCTGTGTGAAACATGGTAGCCACCTGGTCTCTGTGCCCAGACCCACAAAAAGTCAACCCCATATAACCAGGTTTTCCCCACCCTGTACTGCTTAAGCTGAAGCAAAACCTGTGAGACTGGTTAGTTTTTTTTTTGTCACCACTCAGATGGCCATGACTGCTGACGGGCAGAGAACTGCCTGTCTTCCTCTACTGTGTCCATGAGGCCAGAAGCAAAGCCTAATAAGTGACCGGGGACGTCAAGGGCAGCAGTACCAGCCATGTCGTATCACACCCTTGGGTGATGGGTGATTCTACTACTTACACCACAACACAGGAGAGGAGGGGGCACAAGCAAGCCCCTGACCAAGGAAGCTACAATACAAAAGTCAGAGTTACTATCAACTCGGGTCAAAGGTTCTTACCTTCAGAGCCTTCTGTTAGAGGTGTTTGGCCCCTTGACAGGTTAAATGTGCCATTTTCTGTACAGGAGACCTCAGCATCAGAGTGCTCCGAATCTGTGATAGCCAATTCCCTGGCAACAGTAGAATCATCCAGCTTAGAAAAAGAAAACAAGTCTGAGATGATGCCATCTGCAACTGGCTTTCCTGCAAGCCCTGGAAGATCCTCAAGCCTACCCATGAAACCAGGTATAGATGGGAACTGCATCCACAGTCTTGACTCATGAGGCTGTTTCCCTAAAGGGAACTCTTTTTCATCAACCTCTTGAGCTCAGGCAGTCTTGGGTAACCAGAAACATATACATATTAACCAAAACTCTAGATGGGTTGGCTGCTAAACCAACAGATGTCAGTTCCAGGTCCATCCATGGTGGTAGAGTAAAAGCAAACCCGAGAGAGTGTGTTGTTCCTCAGGCTCAATCTGAGTTCTAAGGTCCCACACAACCCTGGGTTCTCTCCTCAGCTCTGTACTAAGAGTAAGGGGAATCTAAGGTCTCTTGAGGGTCCATGATAGGCTTGAAACCTGGTTACCATATCAATACGTGTTGCCAGATGGATTAAAAGGGCCAGTGGGGCAGCATCCACACACAGGATACCTGAGGACAGAAGGCAGCAAGCTCCTCTTCACTGTCACTGTGGTTGTCCACGGCACGTTCTGAGTGTAGTGCTCTGCGGCGCACTATGTGGAAAGAGCAGAAGGTCCTGATGCCTTTGAGGGAAAAAAATCTCCCTTTGGACTTCAAAAGCATGTATCACAACACAAGAAGAAGCCCTCTAAATATGGTCCTAGGTCTCCATAGCAATGTCTGAAGATAAGGATGCTAAGTCTAAGTAGTAACACATGAAACTACATATCTTCTCCAATATCCCTCCTTCCAACCCAACACATCTCTAGAGATCCTGGCTAATGATAAACTACCAATCTACCCAGCAACTTTGAGGATCTCCAAGGGGTAAATACAAAGCAAGGTGGTAAGTGGGCACAGTCATAGGAAGGAGGAGGAAGCTGCTCACCTTGGGTAAATGTGGCTTTTAAGGACTGATACTTTTCAACTAGTTGGCCCAGATGAAGCTGGGCTTGGTGACCACA